TCAAGATCCCTTCCAAGTCCATGAACACTAACAAGTTTTTGTGAGTGGTCTAAATATGTTTTTTTTTTTTGGGATAAAATGTGAATCTTATTATCTAATATAACTGTTTCTACAATAAAGCAGCTAATAAGTTGCTACAAAGTAAAAGAAACTGTCAAAAAGAATGATAACACTGTGCAAACAATACAAAAAGGTTAGTGTTTCACAATTGTCTCAAGACCCCATTTGCATGCAATAGCCATGGGTAGAGGAGAAGAGTTTGGCCGAGTGAAACCCAAAATCCTGCTCCTTACCTCAAATTTATCCAGATTGTTAAAATATTCATCACCAACTTAAGATCTAAATGGTGATGAAGTAAAATTTTTCTAGAAGCATATATTTTACCATAAAGTAACTTGAAGCCACACAAGAATATATGATGGAGAGAAAGCCACGTTAGTTGTGTGTCTAGATTTTTGGATGTATGGTAAATTAAAATATTGTAAACAAAAAGAATACTCTAGAATATGCACAATTCGTGTACATCACTGACTTTTGTAAGTATGAAAAGCAGAAGTGAAGAAGAAAAACAGTGTGTGCGTGAGTTCAATAGAAAATGGTGTTCTAGTATTTCCTCTTTTAGTCAACAAATCTGGTATCAGAGCAATTTGCTGTAGTAGTCTCTACACACGGTCAAGGATCGTGATTCTTCACTTGGTGAAGGCTTTTCCCAGCTTTGTTGTTGCAACAGTCAGGGACTGCTCAGTCAAAGATCATCATAAAGCAAAGAGGTTAGGGATCTCTTTCTTTGGAGAAATTCTGCTTGTGCACAGTTCGGGATTGTGAAGCTTGTGTTTTGTTGGTCTGGGACTAGGTCAGAATCGATAGGGACCACACTAAGTCACAATGGGTGATAAAAGTTGGCTAAACACCATCAAGAAGTTGAATGACAAAAATTACAGCATGTGGCAAACATGCATTGAAACTTACCTGGAGAGCCAAGACTTGCTGAAGATTGTGAAAGGCAACGAGGTTGCGCTGCCACTAGACATCAATGCTGCTGCATACAAGAAATGGAAAGTTTGAGCTGCCAAGGCCATGTTTGCCATAAAAACTTCTATTGAGGAAGAAATGTTGGAGCACATCAGGTACGCTACCTCACCAAAAGATGCTTGGGATATTTTAGCTGCTCGCTTTAGAAGGAAGAATTATACTCGACTTCAATTGTTGGAAAATGAGTTGCTTTCCTTGAAGCAAGAAAAAAATATGCCAATCAGGAAATATTTCACAAAAATCAAATTATTATGCCGAGAAATTTCAGAACTGGATGAAGAATCTAAAGTTTCAAATGAAAGAATGAGGAGAATAATTTTTCATGGAATAAGGCTAGAGTTTAAGGCCTTTATCACAGTTGTACAAGGTTGGCAAACTCAGCCAACTGTGGATGAATTAGAAAATTTGTTGGCAGATCAAGAAGCACAGGGAAAGTAAGCAATTGAAGGAGCATAGAAAACCGAGGAAGAAGCACTCTTCAATGGACAAGGTTGAGGAAGAGGCAAGTACAGTACTAGAGGAGGCCTCTATAGCACTAGAGGAGGAGCTAGAGGCAAAGGCAGATTCCAGAGGATCAAATTAGATTAACCCAAGGATGAGAGATCTTGGAGGCAACAAGATAAGAGTTATCGTTCAGGGGGAGCTCAAGAAGGCCAAGAGGTCGAAAGTAGTAGCTCCAACAATTACAGGAGATGTAATGATCTATGTTTTAATTGTGGAAAGAGAGGTCACTTTGCAAGAGACTACAGATACAAAAAGGGCTCAGTGCAGGGAAATGTTGCTACCTCAAGAGAGGAAGAGAATCACAATGAAAAAGAATGGGACATGGAGGCTTCTTGTGCAACAGTGGAGATAGAAGTCGAAGTTAAGGCCAACCAAGTGGCTTTGTCAGCTTCCAACCAAAGTAAAGTTGACTACAGCAAAAATTGGATAATTGACTCTAGAGCTGCTAGTCGCATGACAGGAGATGAGAAAAAGCTATTGAACTTGTCAGAATACAAAGGAAACAGAGTGGTAGTCACAACAGATGATACTCGGCTTTCAATCAAGCAAATTGGAGATGCAGTGATAACACCATGCACTAGCTCTTAACAAGTAAAGGTGAAAATGTCCTTCATGTATTCGGGATGAAAAAGAATTTGTTGTCTGTGGCACAACTTATAGCTTCCAGAAATTATGTAGTGTTCGAATCGAAAGATGTGAAGGTGTATCAACAATTAAAGATTGAAGGCACATTGATCATGAAAGGAGAAAAGAAGAATTCTGTTTATGTGATGTCTGCTGAAATAACATATGTGGACAGGACTAGCAAGAATGATACTGCTAACTTGTGGCATGCACGTCTTGGGCATGTTAGTTATCTTAGACTGTAGGTGATGATGAATAAACCTATGGTGAAAGGCCTACCCAAGTTGGAAGTGTGCAAAGATGTGGTTTGTGTTGGTTGTCAATATGGGAAAGCACATCAACTTCCATATCAGGATTCCAAGTTCAAGGGCAAGGAACCACTGCAGCTAGTACACTTGGATGTCTTTGGTAAAGTCAAACAATCATCAATTGGTGGAGCACATTACATGGTGACATTTATTGATGACTACTTGAGGTATGTATGGGTGTACTTCATGAAGGAAAAATCAGAAACTTTAGAAATGTTTAAAAGGTTCAAAAAGGAAGTTGAGCAAACAGTTGGCAAGAAAATTCAGTGCCTTCGAACAGACAATGGGGGAGAGTATACATCAAAGGAATTTTCAGATTATCTACAAGATAATTGTATTCAATGACAACTAACTTGTCCATATACTCCTCAGCAAAATAGAGTAGCTGAACGGAAGAATAGACACCTTGTAGAAACATGTAGAAGCATGTTGCATGCAAAAAATGTGCCACCTAGATTTTGGGCAGAGTGCATAAAAACTGCAGCTCATGTGATTAACAGGCTTCCTTAAGCTACTTTGGGATTTATATCACCTTTTGAGAAGCTGTGGAACATGAAGCCAGTGATGAGTCATTTTCAAGTCTTTGGCTCAATGTGCTATGTGTTTGTTCTAGAAGCTCAAAGGACCAAGTTTGATAAGAAAGCAATCAGATGCATTTTTCTTGGCAATGATGACCAAAGGAAAGGATGGAGGTGTTGTGACCCAAATACTGGACGTTGTTGTGTTTCTAGAAACGTTGTGTTTGATGAAGCATCTTCTTGGTGGTCTCCACAAGAGGTAGTGTTGCCAGATTTCAAGGAGTTGGAAGAAAAAGTACAAGAAAAACTTGGAGAGGATACTTGCAGGCTGTTGGATACTCAAGAAGTTGTAGAGAAGGAAAAGGAGATAACTCTTGAAAGAACAGTGAGTCCATGGCAAACAGGGGTACAAGAGCCCATGACCGAAGAAACAAGACAAGGTGAAGTAGAAGAAGCAGAACAACAGCCTGAGCAGCAGCCAAGATGCTCCACTCGAGAGCGAAAGCCAAATCCCAAGTATGTTAATATTGCTCTTATTGAAGCAAGTCCGGTAACTGAACCGAAAAACTATGAGGAAGTTGCACAGAGTATTGAATGAAGAAAAGCAATAGAAGAGGAGATAAAGGCTTTAAAACAAAATTGAACTTGGCAATTAGTACCCAAGCCAAATGATGTAAAGCTAGTATCTTGCAAATGGGTCTACAAAATTAAGACTCGGCCAGACGGGAAGATAGAGAGATAAAAGGCCATGCTTGTTGCTCGAGGGTTCTTTTAACAGTATGGGATAGACTATGATGAAACTTATAGTCTGGTGGCTAAGATTAATATTGTTAGAGTCTTGCTTGCTCTAGCTGCAAGCAAATCATGGAAGCTGTGGCAGATGGATGTGAAGAATGCATTTTGCATGGAGAAATTGATAGAGAAATTTATATGGAGCAACCATGTGGATTTGAAGATAAAAGGCATCTAGAGTACGTTTGCAAATTAAAGAAGGCACTGTATGGACTCAAGTAGGCACAGAGAGCATGGTACGAAAAAATTGCAGAATTTCTTATTCAAAGTGGCTATTCAATGACAGTTGCAGACTCAAGCCTATTTGTCAAAACTCAAGGCAATAAAGTAGCAATTGTGCTTGTCTATGTGGATGACTTAATTGTCACCGGAGATGACATTGAAGAAATTCTTCAAACAAAGGAGAACTTGTCAGTATAGTTTCAGATGAAGGAGTTGGCAGAATTAAAGCAATTTCTTGGACTTGAAGTGGATCAGACAAAAGAAGGCATATTCTTGGGTTAGCAAAAGTATGCATCAGACTTATTAAAGAAGTTTGGGATGCTTGAGTGCAAGCCAATCTCAACTCCAATGGAGATGAATGCCAGACACTGCTCCTATAAAGGGAAGGACTTAACAAGTGCCACCATGTACCAGCAACTCGTCGAAAGCTTAATCTATCTGACTTTATCAAGGTCGGATATGTCATTTGCAGTAGGAGTGGTGAGCAAATTTATGCAAAATCCTAAAAAGCCACACTTGGAAGCAGTACACCGAATTCTTAGGTATGTCAAAAGAACACTGGATTATGGCATATTATACAAGAGTGGCACAAAGTGTAAGGTGCTTGGCTATTGTGAAGCTGATTATGTTGGATGTCATGATACAAAGAGATCCACTACTGGTTATGTGTTTAATTTGGGATCTAGAGTGATCTCATGGTGCAGCAAGAGACAACCTACTATTTCTTTATCAACCACTGAGGTAGAGTATAGAGCAGCAGCTGTGGTAGCCCAAGAAAGCACCTGGCTTATGCAATTAATGGAAGACTTGAAGCAGCCAAGTGATTATTTAGTAAAATTGTATTGTGATAATCAATAAGCAATTCGGTTAGTAGAAAATCCAGTGTTTCATGCTAAGACAAAACATGTTGAAGTTCATTACCACTTCATTAGAGAAAAGGTACTATAAGAGGAGATAGAAATGCAAGCTAAAACAACAGATGAGCAAGCTGCAGATATATTCACAAAAGGACTCAACGTTGGAAAGCTTGAAAAGTTTCGCAAGCAGCTTGGGATGATGCCAGGAAGCAAAGTCGGTGCTGAGGGGGAGTGTTAAAATATTCATCACTGACTTGAGATCTAAAAGGTGATGAAGTAAAAGTTTTCTAGAAGCAAAAGTTTTCTAGAAGCATATATTTTACTATAAAGTAACTTGAAGCCACACAAGAATATATGATGGAGAGAAAGCCATGTTAGTTGTGTGTCTAGATTTTTGTATGTATGGTAAATTAAAATATTGTAAACAAAAAGAATACTCTAGAATATGCACAATTGGTGTACATCATTGACCTTTGTAAGTATAAAAAGCAGAATTGAAGAAGAAAAATAGTGTGTGCGTGAGTTCAATAGAAAAAGGTGTTCTGCTATTTCCTCTTTTGGTCAACACAGATATGTTAGGATTCA